TTCTAATCTTTTCTAACACATTTTATGCTTTTGCATAGAAGACAGCTTCATAAATCAATCTGTATTAAAAACATCTTCAAGACATTATGATCCAAATCTGCAGGTCTGACTGCATATAATTGCCAGTGCTGTTATCTCTTGCTAGAATCAGGGGACACAACCTACAGACTTTTATTTGTGACCATAATAACATGTTTTCTACCATGACTCCAAATCAAAGTTAGAGGGATTTAGCAGAGGAGTGAGGCTCTGCAGAATTAGCCCCAATTGAACAGAAATGTTCCATGTCTCTTTAGGTATCTCTAACATCCACACAGCTCATGTTTTGTTATTGGGAAGGGACTGGACTTGGCAAGTACAACTGCAATCACAAAAATGTACTGTAAAGAATCATTTCCACAGGTAGGAGTGAGAGTAAAATTATGTGACAGAAAGCGGAGAGAGTTTACAGAGAGCACTACCGAGCACCTTGGCGACATGGCATGGGTGACAGCATCGTCATGCAGAGAGACTGACTTAACGGGACACAAGGGGCCAACCCTTCCGCAGGGACACAGCTTTCCTGTCAGCTAGGTATATCCCCAAAATGAATGACACCTCCCACATGACTAGGGCTTTGCGGGATTACAAGCAATGTTTGGGATAAGAAGGAGGAGGATGTGGCTTTTAAGACAGCTGGTAATTTTAAAATAGAAACAATTCATTGCTCATTCCTTCAATACTATGCAGTAAGCAGTATGTTCCCAGTATTCAAGGTAAAATAGCCCAAGCACATAAATAAAGTGTGTAATTTGCTTATTAAAATCTATTCAGACACTGATAGATGCCACACAAAGTCCATGCTGGTAGATAAATGTGCATGCATTTACTTTATACATGACCTAGGGATCTGTTTATGTCTTTGTTTACCCCATCAACACTATAAAAAAGTAAAGAGGAAAAACCCCCAAGGAAGGGCAAATTCAGACTAAAGAGACGATTTTTAAATGGCTCTCCAGACTGGTAGTGTATGCACCTGTCACTTGCTGCTATGGCACACAAGAAAAAAATGAAAATAAAGCTCTCCTCCAAGAGTGGCGCTTTTTGACTGGCTAATTACTGCTCACGTCCGGTCTGTAACAGAGCTAAATTCACACAAGAGCCCCAGGGCATGTCTCAGTCTTCTCGCTGTGCCGAAACCACCGATGCAGGGGTGATGGCTAGGAGCAGACGAGAAGCGGGAGCACAGGTACCTGGGGGAGGCAGCGGGGGTTCTTCTCCCTGTTTCCCACCCTTACCTGGGCAGCCTCGGGCAGGGGCACCACGGCGTTCCTCCTGCGGCCCCCCATGCGGAACTTGGCCGCCTTGTAGATCTTCCAGTAGACGAAGAGCACCACACAAAGGGGCAGGTAGAAAGCCCCGCCGGTGGAGACGATGGTATAGGAGGGCTCCTGGCTGACCTGGCAGCGCTCCTGCTCAGGGCTGTAGGTCTCCCCCCAGCCAAAAAGGGGGGCGAGGGAGATGGCGGCAGAGAGCGCCCAGGTGAGAGCAATCATGACGTTGGAGACGCGGCGGCGGGTGAGCAGCGTGTACTCCAGGTGGCGGGTGATGGACCAGTAGCGGTCCAGGGCGATGGCGGTGACGTTCCAGATGCTGGCCGTGCAGCACAGCACATCGAAGCAGACCCACACAAGGCACAGCTCCCGGCCCAGCCGCCACCGCCGCCCGGCTGACAGCTCCTTCACCCAGCTCAGCGGCATCACCAGG